CCTAGTGTGTTGCATCTATCAATGTTTAATGCCACAAGCACGAGAACTTTACGGTGGCCACTTTAAAACTCGATGTGCACACTGCACAAAACTATAATCATATACCATAGCGAAATTCTATATGCTAATGAGCCTTCTTGTATCATGCCATGTCTACAAAACAGAGGAACATTCAATCTCCTAGCTATACTATCAGCCTCTGTGCAGAACAACAAATGACAAGTAGAAAGAAGGATCTAAATATCATCAGAAAGCTAAACTGGCTATGAATTTCATCAGGAAGCACTGCACAACGGAGAGCAACAATGGAACAATCAATAATTGATCGAATCATTTTGGAAAACACCAAACAAAATTGCAGATTGTTGATCAAAAACGAGCAAATCAAGAGTAACCAAATGTAACAAGTAGAGAGAGTGAGAGCAAGTGCGTCGAAACACTTTAAAGAACACTTATTTCATGAACATCATTTATCAACAAAACAAAAGAGATTGAAACCAAGTTCAGGGACGAGCGAAACGAAACCCTAACTCTCCAGTCTTCGTGATCGTCATAAAACGGGAGAAAAAACTCCTCAAATCCCCGGGGAAAAACACATACCAGATCAACCCCATCTGGTGCTTAATCGGACGAATCTCCAGCAGACGCAAGCTTCTCCATTTCCAGGCGTTCTAGGGCTTTCTGATGAGCCCAAGTCTCGATTGAAAGATCAGGTTTAGCATTGAGTCCGACTCCGAGGATAACAATCGTGAGGAAGCTGGTGATGTAACAAGGAAGCTCCCAATCTTCCCATTTGCGCGACTGTCCCGGTGGTGGTGGAGTCCGGTTCATGAAATAGCCCTTGGGCCGTTCTTCGTGACCCGGCGTCGCCCAACGACTCGGACCGGCGGATGTAGATCCGGACCTTGAAAAGATCCGATTTCGTAGCGTCTTCGCTGCGACGGTCAATGACTGCGTCGACGGCATCGCTAAAAGTTCCGATTTCTGCTTCGAAGCAAAAGAGACGAAAAGGAAATTTTACAGATTTGCTTAGTGTTCGAACTATATACGACCACGACCTACACAAGGGTTTAATTCGAAACCGGAACGAGAAATTCAGTTTGGTTTTATCACTATCGTCGGTTTAATTGGCAAATTTCGGTTTATATTATGGCTTCAGTTTATATTTTCCGGTATAGTAGATTTAGTAACCAAATTGAAACGGTATGACTTCAAACTCTGTAGTGCAAAATCGCTTGTGTCAGTTCGGTTATTATTTACTTAAAACAAAATCGAACCGGTCATTGTAGTCGGTTAAGCATTATTGGATAATTCTCATAAACGACGTCGTATTCCACAGTAACATAATCAACTCTTCATATACTTCTCTGAAGGGACACAACACTTTGAGACATTCTGATTTCTACATTGAAAAATCTCGTAAATATAGAAAGGCCAAGAGACTTGAAACAATCATAACCATTTTCTTACTCTAATTCAACAAATTGAAACCTTAGGAGATATATAATAACTCTTATAGTATTATATACACTGCCATTTTCACTTATAGCTCCATTTTCACCTCATTTGGCTGTAAAGTAGCTGAACCCATCAAGAAACTGGCT